ACCTCTGTGATAAATCAGCGACAACGTAGAGGCAGCTTGTCAATAAGGCATCATTGTGTGTGGGGTGAAGCATTATTGCCGCAAATGCAGATAGTTACAGGCCGCCCACAACAACGGAGAATGATATTGATCAGTCATCAAACGAGAGCAATATGCACGTGTAGCCAAATAAACCACAGGCTGTGGGCCTGTGTATGATTTCAGGTAATTATTTAACTGTTGACAGCATTGTGTCACAGCAACAAATGACCATTTCAGCTAACCTTCCTAACACCAATTCATTGTGTGACTCTTGTTACATTTACACCTGAAAATAATGTACATATACCAACGAAGATAAGAGTCATTTTGTGAGTAAAATTAATTTCGGGCCTGTACATTATCTGGCTTATCCACCACGTAAACGACACACACACGATACCCTGACGGCATGATTAAATTGTGGTATGGTTGCCGTCGTGATTTTGCCGTATTGCTACCCTCAGCTGGGCCATGGGTGGGGTGGGGTGGGGTGGGATGGGGTGGGGGGTGGTGGTGTTTGGGTGTCATATGTTGCTACCACATCTTCTACCATTTAAAAACGGGAATCGTCTGCTAACTGGTATAATGTCATTGACACACAGCTCGTGGTTGGTGTTGACAAGCAAACTACAAGCTCGCTGACTATGGGGATCACACCCTTCACAAGAGGCCTTGCTTTCAGCTGGGGTGCTCATAACCGGTTTAAAGAGTAGATGTTGAAACCAACCTTTCTTTTATTGTGCCTAATACTCTTTTGATAACATGAGCATATCTGAATCTATTGCGATTGTCAACTAATGTCATCTTGTCCAGGTGTTGTTTTAAAGATTTCTCTTTGCGACTATACCCGTTAGACGGTACTTGTCCTAGATATATTATCTCTGGAGAACTTTTTACGTCAATTCTGTGGCAGAATTTGGTACGTGGGTGAGTCTTTGGTTCTCCACTATCAACCAGAGACTAAGAAGTAGAAAGAAACATCATAGCTCTCTTCCGACGTAGGCAAACAACTGTTCCATTGTAAAGTGAAAGATTCCAGTTTTTCATTCGTAAGTAACATACTGATGGAATCATATTAATGGATCTAATCTTATGGTAGTATGTTTCGTCAACGGCATGTGGTTATGCATTAAAGTGTGGGGACCCATTAGCGTGTGTCGTCCCACCAAGTGCACACGTTTGTTTTTGCTTTGACTGTAGATTTTAACACATTGAACATCAGATTCACGTTCATCAGATTTTCTCCTCACACATGCAGACAACAATGTCTGGCAAGCATTATATGCAAAAGAAGTTGATGTGATGTTTGTTGTTTACACCACCAAGTGGAAGAAATCAGATAGATCCAGGTAGAACAGTATCGTTGCCAGAACCGTTGACATCGGACGGGATTTTGCTTAAAAATAATTTAGACAAGTCCAACAACGCAGTCCATCTGGCTCTGAACTTTCGGCTCACCCATTTCGTATTTACTGTATTGTTCTTTACGTAGCGCCACGGTCTGTTTGCTAAACAGAACTTGGTAATGAAGGGCATTCACTTTGAACAACTGAATTAGAACGAAATGAAAACATACCTTAATCATTTTTTATTTCCCACGAAAATAATTGATCGAAAAACGGAAACGATTAGAACGCTCTGTAAAATCAACAAAACTTCTTCCACATTTATAATAAATCTCTGTAAAAAGAAAAGTCGATCGAATAATTCCGGCTATATCCTGAGGATACGTTTATGAATTGCTATGAAGTACGTGGTATTCAATGTTGTAACCATGATCAAACAACTTCTGAGCAAGAGTCGTGTCATTCCTGATTGACAACGGTCTTTGAAATCGCGGTATAAGAACATGCTGGATTGTACCTCAAGGGTTGTGGAATATAATTTCCAAAGGCTACAGCTGTTATAAAATTGCTCGACATGAAGGGAAAGTTGACCACTGGAAAGTTGAAATCATCCTTTCTGAGGAAAGTTATGTCACTCTGAATCTTTATGCATTGATCCAAGCATGAAACACACGAAACGATCTCATTTGTCTCTATTATTAGTTTACGTGGGCGAATCAGTGAAAGTGAATTTACTATTTGATGGCTATTGCATGATATAAGATCAATTAAATTGTTTTGTCACAACGACATGAAAGTTAAAGGTATTTAAGATATGTAAATGTTATTACCTACCAGCAATATTTAGTTACTGCGTTCATAAATTGTGGTTATTAGGCATTGGACAGTATGATATGTTTGTACATTTCGTAGCTTTCGTAGCTTCAACCCTGATTACAAAGAAATTCATGATCTTTTCTTGAAATGCTTCATGCTTCCATATAATAGGCGCATTTTCATGAGCAAGATGCCTGTAGGTGTTAAATGTGCTTACGTTGCTCCACATTAATTTCAAGACTTTCGCCAACAATCATTCCTGGTGACCCAGAGATACGACTTATGTGGTTTCATGTTTAAGAAGAGTTCGGATGTTTGGATACGATTCACAAAATAATATTGTTTGAACATGTACCAAGGTTTTTTAATCATGGTTAAAATAGGTTAGATCACTCGGACCTCTGTTACTAGTCGTTGAAAACCAATACACGCAATTGCACTAATCGCATGATGTGTCATGGCCAAAAAATAAAACTGTTGTCCAAGAGATCTTAAAATAAAACGTTTTGTCAGGCAGAACACATTTAATTCAAATCTTCATATTCATACAACATTAAATTGTGTATAATAGCGAACGTACTTAAGTCAGCGGAAGCTGTGTATCTGTATCACAACAGTTCAACTGAAAATCTAAATGTTGACACGTAAAAGAAATGCAATAATTGTATATGTCATTCTATGTTTACTAATGGTTGGGTATATAGAAATGTTTTCATTAATCTCAATATTGACTCATCTCAATAGACTTCAAGCTCAGTCAGTGAAAACTGAGTGACAAATTCGTTTCTGACATTCGACGTTCGTTTTACTGTGAAAGAACTGCTGCATTGCGTGTCAACACAATAGGCTGGTCGGAATCGGTGGAAAATTGATCTCTATAACGGTTAATATATCAATTGACAACGTCGTTCATAACTAGGCAACGGCCCATGACATCGACCGTGATCAATACAATGTTAAAATCACTGCCAATGATACTTGGTTTATTATGCTGATCCTAGTTAGGAGTGTTATGGCGAACTGTCAACACTAACAATTAGAGCCGTTCTTGCTGCCTTACAACAGAACACATTTTTTTTCCATTTGTAACACACCTGAAGAAAGCAGTAACGTTTATGATAGAAATGGTTGAATGATGTACAATGACATTCATGTTTATTATTTACGTCTTTGTAAAACAGATGCTGACATTATTTGTGATGTTGACATTTTCTTCAACAGGCTTCATGGTGTTGATTCAGTCTCCATGGAGTTGATACATTCCCAATGGTGTTGATACTTATACATTCTCAATGGTGTTGATACATTCCCCATGGAGTTGAAACATTCCCAATGATGTTGATTCAATTCCTGTGCTGTTAATTCATTCTCCATAGTGATGATACATTCCCCATGGTGTTGATACAGTCATTATGGTATTGATAGAGTCCTGATGGTGTTGATCCATTCCCCATGGTGTTGATAAAGTCCTCATGGTGTTGATACATTGTCCATGGGGTTGACCCATTCGCCTTGGGGTTGATACAGGCCTTATGGTATTGATACATTCTCCCTGATGTTGATACATTCTCCCTGGTGTTGAAACATTCCCCATGGTGTTGATTCAGTCCCCATTGTGTTGATACACTCCCCATGGTTTTAATACAATCCTCATGGTGTTGATACATTATCCGTAGGGTTCACCCATTCCCCTTGGAGTTGATACAATCCTCATGGTGTTGATACATTCTCCCTGATGTTGATACATTCTCCCTGGTGTTAAAACATTCCCCTTGGAGTTTATACAGGCCTTGTGGTGTTGATACATTCTCCCTGGTGTTGAAACATTCCCCTTGGAGTTGATACATTCCCCATGGTGTTGATTCAGTCCCCGTGGTGTTGATACACTTTCCATGGTGTTGATACAATCCTCATGGTGTTGATTGAGTCTCCATGGTGTTGCTTCATTTTCAATGGCGTTGAAACATTCCCCATGGTGTTGAAACATTCTCCATAGTGTTGATACAATCCTCATGATGTTGATACATTCTCCATGGTATTGATATAAAGCCCATGATGTTGATTCAGTCCCCATGGTATTGATATAAAGCCCATGATGTTGATTCAGTCCCATGGTATTGATATAAAGCCCATGATGTTGATTCAGTCCCCATGGTATTGATATAAAGTCCATGATGTTGATTCAGTCCCCATGGTATTGATATAAAGCCCATGATGTTGATTCAGTCCCCATGGTATTGATTTAAAGCCCATGATGTTGATTCAGTCCCATGGTATTGATATAAAGCCCATGATGTTGATTCAGTCCCCATGGTATTGATATAAAGCCCATGATGTTGAAGCATTCCCCATCCATTGTGTTGATTCAATCCCTCTGGTGTTGATACATTCCCCATGGCGTTAATACATTTCACTAAGTTGCAAATCATTGACTTATATAGATTCTGTGTTGCCTAAACTCTGGATATGCTTCTTGGGAACTTTTTATTGTTACTATGATAAAATATTCCCCAAACAACAAAAACAGGATGTAGATTAAAGAGGAATTTGGTGTTATGCTTGGTAAATGTGTGCAAGAACAAATATTCAAGGACAGTCACACTATTACCACACTGGCAATGATAATATTAGCAGGCATTGCAGAAAAAAACATGTTTGCAATGGAAACAAGTTTAACAGAACAAGCCAGCATATTGATCAGAAACTTGGATTTATTTGGAGTCAATCGCCAAAACGCAGCGTTCCTAATCAAACCAATATATACTTGTCGAATTCACTACCAACGTAGCGCGCTGTGGTGCGGGTTTAGACTGGTCGAGCACGTTGACAGTGGAGGACATGGAGAAACACAGAACTTGTCGTCTGTTTGTTGTTTGGATTCTGACCAGTATGGGAGCAATTTCTGGTAAGTCAGTCCAACTCGAAACGAAGAATCATTCTGCATTGATTCGTTGAAACATAACAAAAACAAAATGTTGCATTGTCTACTCTCAATATATTCTCAATGGATTCATTCATAAAAATATTTCAATTACATTATTTTCTTATATTTTTATTTCCATTTGCCTGTATTACAATTTTGACTGTTGGCGAAGGGTATACTTTTAAAAGTATATACACTAGAATTATTGACTATTCCTCAGTCACTGTCAAACAAATTGGATCATAAGTTATATGATCAAAACGCGCACCGGGCATGGCTTGGCAGGAATAACTTGAAGTGGAATGTTTACTTAAGCTTTGAAGATCAGATCTCAATGTGATTTTCTTTCAATCATTTAAAATTTGACCCCGTCACTACCCATGGCAGCATTACGATATTAACTTGAACATGAGTGAAAAATAGTGAAATCATAGTATGAAATGTTCGAAGAAGAAATAGCAACAAAATGCGAATATGAGGTCCTCGCTTACGAAATATCACGCTTGCGTCCCAAGTACTAAGTTGTCGACTCGCCATTGTTCTTTGTGCCTGGGGCTTGGTACCTCTCAATCTTGACTGACATTTGAACATTACCCTCTTAGATGCAAAGAACACAGCGCTTCAGAAACTCAACTTAATTCACAAGACTGCACACCTATTCTCCCGAAATGTGCACCAACTGATATCTGGACCTGATAAAAAAGTTCTTTTTTTTTTAAATGATAAGTCATTTTATTGTTAAAACATCATTTATTGTTCACGAAAATAAAATTATCAAAGTAAGATGTCAAGGAGAAAACGACGATCGCCAATCACGATTGGATACTATGATTGGGTGAACTAACTTGCATAAATTTATCATCAAACGTACTATACATACGTCTTTAACTAAATATTACTGGAAATATATTTCACATAAGTTTTATCTGTATTATATTGTGATAAACAACAAAAATGGCCATTATACAAACTGAATAACAATCTTGTAATCTACGTTAGCGTAGCACAACCATAACTATATAGAAACTTAGAAAAGATACTGGTGAAAAGTTGCTATACTATTACACAGAGTTACATTAAAAGATACAAAAGTGATTAACTGTTTCTTGTTATATTCATTATTTAAAGTACAGACAGAACAGAAGCTTAGTGAAAATTCATTTAACTGTAATCACGTAATCTGCTTAGTTTGATGTAGAATATCAACAATGATAAGCCAATTACAAGTAAATAATCATATAATGTTTAGAAGAGTTCATGCCATAACTTTAGATCCATAAAACTGTCTTACCTGAGTAGCCCTGATAGCGTTCAATGAACTGTTAAGTGGACAATCACGCCACTGAACAAAATGTCCGTCATGCCATCTGCTTTCGGCGCCCGGACTGTGCCAATATTACTTCTGGAACCAGTGGACGGTTAGTAGCAAAGGTACGTAACTAGTGTGTGCATACCGCGAATAAATGGTGCTCCATTGGAATGAGGTCACGTAGATTACATAACGTATATTTCACACTCGACCTTCAGCACCCACCAAGCGTTTAAAGTGCAAAGGAAGAGCTTCTCCCTCACTTAGTTATTACTATTTAGTTATTACCCTTTTGGTGACACTGGATGTACAGGCTTTATCTTATGGTGGTCACGTAGATTCCTTAAAAAATCTCTACATCTTTAAACCTGTTAAGCATCATGGTGAGAAATCGGCTGAAATGAAGTGACTATGAGATTGATCTTGTATTGTCCCAATATAAAACAGTAAATAAGGCTAACTATCCAATGAATACATACAATTTTTAAAATAATTATATGGTTATTTTCATGGTGTAACGTGGATTACACTTTTATGGAGAGATCGTATCAAACATAACTTATAAAAAACATAAACCATATGAACATATGTTCTGGGTATGGACGAAAGTGTCAAGACCTCCTTATCTCGAAAATGTAATCTGTTTTGTTCACACTAAATGAATATTTACTTTGAAATATTCACTCAAAATTTAGACTATCATTGGAGACAAGCAGATTTTGGTGATATTTGGACTAACGTTTTACCCTGAGTCACACATATGAATAACGGATCTTTGTCTCGGATACCTACCAAGCGTGTCGCCTAATATAAGCATGAAATAATAATGTGAAATCATTAAATAAGTGTTTTTTAATGCGGAGACAATTACAAGTGGTGCACATATGTGAGAATAGGTGTGCAGCGTAAGGAAGGCTTCACACTCTCCGAAAAGGTCTTGTTGGGTTTGATTGGGCAACATTTCCCGGAAGTCTTCTTTCGTTTTGTGGGCTGCGTGTGAAAATAAAAAAAGTAATGACAATAATACCGAAAAAGGAAGAATTGTATGGGAACTATACATCAATTCCTGGTGTTTCCATCATGCCATTCGAAACACTCAGGGCACCTTGATTGCTTACTGTTGATTAACTTGCGTTGTGTTGCCATTGATATTGCCAACCATTCCAAGCGAAGATATCGTCCGTTAGCCTGTGTTTGTTCCACAGTCAAGAAATGACAGTTTCAGATCTGACAAACATTCGAACAATTTGCGACATTAAAGCCACCCAGCCCCCTTCCTCCATCATACCTAACAATTCACAGTTTGTCTAATCAATCAGAAACCGTATCGAAGAGATATTTCTGGCTGTGCTAAGGCCAAATGCAGTAGTGATTGTGAGTTTCCCAATATGAGCACCCACTTTTGTTTCTGGTTAGATTCGAATGCTACGACACCATAAGTATATGTTTTACTCAACCATAGTTATTTTATGTTCCCGCACACCAACACCATCCCGATAGGTGCGTGCTAAACCTGTACCATATACAAAGAAGTGTTATGTTAGAAGCGAAATATAAGCAACAAAATCATTTCCATAATCATAAGAAATTGCTCCTATAAGTAAATGCCATGATACAAATCCGACTATACATACATCTAATAGTGATAATACCAGGTGTTCGCGAAAAACAGTCAGATCGGTGCAAGCCGAGACAAACATATGTTAAAGATAGGTCAAATATTCACCTCATGAAACACGGGACCACATGGTACAGGTCCAAAAAGGGAACTGAATTGCACGTCATTGGATATATCCTCCGCCTACCTTCTTTACATTTTCTAAAGCTTTCCAAAGGCCTTGACAACGGTAACACTTTGGGAAACAAGTCTTGAGAGAGGGTGGAATTATGTTCTGTGAAATCTACAGGGAAAGTGCACCTTAAACGTTGTGACAGCAAGAGTCGCTGGTATTGTGCTGCTCGACGTACGGGAACATTGACTGTTGGACAGTTTAACTCATACATCTAGTCATGCTGTCTTTTTGTAAACTTTCTCACTATTTACCCCTTAATTTGAAACAGAAGAGTCGGCTTCGTTGGTCTCTTTCATGTCTAGTTCACATGGATAAATCAGTGTTGCCGCTGGGCCAATATTTAACAATATCAAATCTCCGATATAACCAAGGCCAAGTTAAACTGTTTGGTCATATTCCCGTATTTTGATTTTGCAAATCGGGAAAGACAACTTCGATTCGTGTGATTAAAGAAACGGACCTGCAATGATACGTATAAGTAACACCCAAGAAATGTTTTCAAAAGTCACTTCTGAAATGGTCATGTGAATATGCTCGCGAATATGTACAACACTCCGACAGGTAACTGTTTTCACTTTTTTGCAGCAGCAGAATTGCAGCAGTGGAATGCCGTCATTAGACCAAAATATACCGGCTTCAATTACGAATTCGACATTCGAAATGATCTTATAAGACAACGCCATCTACTCCAGACGGAGATAGTATCTTCCACGACACTTGCATATCCCCAGGAGAAAGACCTCTTAACAAAAATCAATGAATTTTACGCGGACAAGAACAATATGGCCATGTTCTGTGTTTTGCCTGTTATGATAATAATATATGGCGGTTGCAGCGCCATATATTGTGCAGCCAAGTGCAGACGATATATCCGTAAGAGACACACACGGTCATCTAACCACCACGACGACAAAGCACACATCAACAATGAAGATCAGAATGATGTGTCCAACAGCGAGTTTATCAATATTCCTCCAAGTGAAACAGGTTCTCCGAGGACATTCATTTCTCCTCCCGCTCCGACAGGGCCTACTCCTCTACCTTGGTATACTCCTGCAGACCCAATGGTTCCACCACCATCTTCTGTACCTCCAAAGTTCACAAGGGGTCAAAATCACCGTCAAACTAATCACGGCGACGATAGGCACAGGGCTTACAAAGACATATTGCAAGTCAAAAGGCCGATGTATGGGACAAACGGGTACAAAGATGAGCCGAAAGGACATATCTGTGATTTGTATGGAATGGCCTCCCCTGAACACTCCACCGATATTAGTGGAAGGGACAGTGTCATGTCATACAAGAATGAACTTTTGGCTAGGTTTGATGCTTTGTCTACATTTACCATGGCCAAAAAAGCTGCAAATATTTTGAGAACAGGAAGCAACAGTACAAAGAAAGAGCCCGATCTCTTTAATGGTAAACCTAAACAGAAGATGATATTCATTGCTGAATAACATCCCTGCAACATCTAAGGCTATACATCTGGAAAGAGACCGTCAACTACGCCAGCTATAATTTAGAAATGCTGATCACTGACAAAACGTGTTATCTATGATGTATTCCAATATAATTAGTGTGTATATTTCAGTGTGTCTGTCCCTTGTACTCGATGTAAGCAGAAATTCAAGTTAAATAGCCTCATCATTACGATTGTTAGAATAAGGGAAACAAGATGAACACTATTATGAGGATATATCAAGAGGAAAAGGCTATTTATTTATGTCCAGTGTTTCAAGGAATCTAGAAGGCCCCTGTTTCAATTCTGGACTAGTGAAAAAACACCTTCTCTCTAACACGGTGGTGTAAATGTAATGTTTTGGAAAATGACAACATGATATTTGAAAATTCGTCTGATGAAATCTTTATCATAACTTCATTGACAAAACGCATGCCAAGTAAGAGGAGACACAACCTAAGAGAAGGGGTAGTGGGACCACCATTTGAGTTGATCAAGGTCAACGACACTATGTATGTTCCCGTTGCTATGTGGTGGGAAAACGCCAAATGTTCAAACGCACGACACCAGATGATGGAAAACAGCCCTGAGGATGTGATGAGCTAGTGTGCTGTATGTGGGCGGGCATCATCCTGCTGATAATTGACATTACAACCAGCTGAAAAGTGGCAGTACATGTTTTCCTACAATACCGTACCGGTTGAATACTCCATTCAGACAGGCAGACATTTGATTTTAGTATTGTTTGGCCATCGAACTACATGTACAATACAAGCGCAGGAAAATTGAAGATGCGCACGTAAAATGTATGTACATTCACTAGAGGTATAACTCGTGGATATGAAGCGACTGAATTATGTCATTTTAATGCCCTTTACCATAGTCAGTTGTGTTCTCCCACGGCTGATGTCACCTCAGATATTACACGTACATCTCGTTCAACTCGCGTCTGCTGTACTTTCCAAGTCTTGTCACATATGGACCACTGGCCCTTGGCAAGCCATGGGTGTCACCCCGTTGTAGATAACGTTCCAAAAGACGATTATTTTTTGATAAACATTAAAATGGCTGGCAAGATCGTTTGTTCCATGCCTCGCTGCAACATACCTAGGCCGATAATATAATGCAAGAATCAACGTGGATTGTTCACTTTAAAAAAAAATACGTGTGTGAGTACTATGATCCCCCCAAACAGGCAGAGATCCTAACTGAGCATGCACGTGTGAACTGTTAAGTCGTGGAGATTTTTTTTCAGAATAAATTCAATTTTACCGAAATGTATATCAAGTACAGTCACTATTGTCGCTAGTATGTATTGTTTTTGTGTACTCATCTCTCTGTGCGTGTGCGTGTGCAACCGCCAGTGTAGGAAGCTAAGAAGTGGCATATAAAGTTAGTCGTTATCTTTATGCAAATAGTGAATTTCGAGTGCTGCAGCTGATCTTAATGGTTTCATGCAGTTAGTCATATTCAATGTTGACGTTCTTTGAGGTTATGCTGGATAATGTCTCATCTAAGGCATGTACGGTTTTTTTAAAATTGCCTCTGTTCATCCAGCAGAAAATGGGTACCTGTTGAAATATGTCACCTGACTTTTAACCTTCCAGCGCAAACAACAGTCCTTGACAAGAGACATTTTTCAATATATGTTTGTTGAAATGGCTTTTGAGATAATAACACATGGAAATATATACCAGTGTCGATAATACCACACAGTTCCATCTACGTACACTCTTCAAAAAAGAGAAACATATAGATAATTTTGAGAATATTGGACTCATGTAGCTGCGGCAAAAACACTATTTTTTTCAAAAACGTCATCTTTGTGTGATTGCAAACAGCAGCAGCGCCAAAACGCGGCAATTTTAAATTTTCACCTTGTTTTAGAAGCGTTTAAAGAAAAACTCGCAAAAACATCACCAAATAAACACGCAGAGCAAAATCCACATTCAAGTAAGCGGAAAAGCATGCGGTATCGACTGTATGCCACCAATCGCCACATCGCCACAGGCCGTCTTGAAGCTTGGGAGTCGCAGTCTGCAGTTGCCAGACATTTCAATGTTCATCAGAGCACCATATCTCGCCTGTGGGATCGTTTCCTGCAGACCAATTCCGCCCGAGAAGCGGCCGTCCAAGAATTACCAACCAAGCCCAGGGCCGCTACATCCGGGTTGAGTCGGAGTCATGTCTTGCCACAGCCGTGAAGACTGCACATTGCATCCCTGGTTTGAGTAGAATTTCATACCAAACTGTCAGAAATCGATTGCGTGAATTTGGGAATCGACCAAGAAAGCCAGAAACTGTTGTCACCCCTGTTTAGAGAGGCTTCCGTCGGCACAATCGCGTGTGGTGCTGTCGCAGAGTCAGGAACTGGAACCTTAGAAAATGGAGGCGAGTCTGGTTCAGTGATGAATCACGATTTCTTCAACACTAGCAAGAAGGAAGACATCGCGTTTCCCGTCGGAGAAACGTTTTGCCCCTAACTGCATTCAGCAGGTCGACAGACTCGGTGGAGGAGGTGTCATGGTGTAGGGTGGGATATCCAGCAAACAAAGATCTGATCTAGTGGTCGATCAGGAGGATTTGACAGCTAATCGGTACACCAACGAAGTCCTTGTACGCCACATGCTTCCAATTATGGACCGACAGAGGGAGTTGTTCCAGCATGAGCATGGTCCGCTACCTTGCCAATTCTAACGTCAATGTCTTGCCATTTCCGATCACCAGATCTAAACCCTATGGGATGAACTGGATCGACGTGTACGTCAAAGACCAAACACGCCTCAGAAACTTCCACAACTGGCCATCGCACTGCAGGAAGAGTGGTGACTTTGTCGACTTATCCAGTCTGTGCCGAGACGGTGCCGAGCAGTAATCGCTGCCATACTGCTGCTGGCGAAACAAAGAACTGACTTTGACGCCATCTTGTGGACTCTAGTAAAAAGAAACACAACAATAAATGCTGCTGTTGTGTTAGCGAACTCTTTGTCTATAGACGTGTGAATTTTCATTTGTGTGTGCTTTGCGATTATTTCAAACATTAACGAAACATTTTGAGGCGTGTTTTGATTGTGACCTACAAGTCACAAACATTGTGTACGTTGCCAGAACATCACAGATATCGTACCCAACTGCGACACTGACAGCGCCTCAAGTTCTTCGCAATATCCCTACAACTTCAGACTTTGGTGAGTATATTTCATAAGCTTTCAGGTGCAACTAACCTTGACCTTTCTACAAAGAGTTCATAGAGTGTCGTATAACTCGCTCAAAAACTGTTTGAACAGAGTTAGACAAGGGAACACTTCTGAGGGTAACTATGATGGACTGCGTTCAAAGAATATTTTGGTAAGCAGTTTGCAACTTAATCACCTCCGAAGTTGCTACTTCTGCCAACAAAGCAAGAATGTGTCTGGATCCCTCTAGTGCGGAAGGTGGTTTAAACAGTCACCCTCGGCGTTAATAACGCAGTCATCATTTGTATAATGCTTACAGTTCTGTCTTTAAACGGTTGAAATCTGACAGTGCCAAATCTGGTAAATGCGGAGGATGTCCAGTGAGATCAAGGCCAAGTGACACATTTCAGCAATGGCGACGACAGACTAATTCACACGTGCATTGTCCTAGCGGAGCAACAAAACTTTATCTAAAGAAGTGGACCATCTTCGGTTTCCTACCATTTCTTTAACACTGCTGTCCACCTTTCTTAACAGTCGCAAAGGAAGGAGCACCCCCAAGTGCGGTTGACATGGCTAGCCGTTAGCGATGACGAAAGTGCTAAAGTCAATTGTATACAATTTCCTCAACAGAGAAAAGGTAGTCACTTTGCTGCCTGCTGAAATATGCTGCCCGGGGTGTATTTGATACAACTACAGCGTGGTAACTAGAAAATGCAAACTACAAAGGGGCATTCTAACCTTGTCGTTTCTCGATTTGTGTTGGCAATTAGAACGGCGCCAAGTCGACCTTACATTGGCTACATTAAAAAGGTCAGAAACAAATGCATGACAGTATAGACAGGAATTGAATCAATTTAGAAATAATCATAAAACATACACATCTTTATTTACAGATTGGTCCAAGGATGGTGGCGCAGTTGTTTGTCCCACTGTCATTAGATCCAGAACAATATTTTCTAGATTACCAGACGACAGCTCCATTATCACAGCAGAATCTAACGCCAAATTAACAGCTGTTAAATATATTAATAAACACAAACAGCTGTTGAATATATTAATAAACACCGTAAATATAAACAATACATAATTTTCTCTTTCTTGCCTTGAAGCTGACCAATACCGCATCGTCCTCTGTTGGTTACCCAGCCACGTTGGAATTCCTGGTAACACAATGGCCTATTATGCTGCTAAGGCAGCACTCAACAAATCTGTGACACATCACTTCTCATGCCATACTCTGATTATAAAGCTGTCATTAGAGCATATATCCGTGATCTAATACAAAAAGAAGTGGGACACCCAAGTAGGTATCAATATATTACATAACGCATAGCAACTATCGGTTGCACCTACTTGGGTTTTCAGTCCAGATTTGAAGAGGTCATCACGCGACGATGTCGCATTGGCTATGCAAGATATACTCATGAATACTTGTTAAAAGGTGAAGATCCTCCATTCCCCATCGCTTGTGATGAAAGAATCACGGTCAAGCATGTCCTGCTTAAATGTATTGATTTTTCCATCACAATGGATTAATATTTCAAATGTTCAACCTTAATAGACCCTTTTAAGTCAGTTCTGCTGACTTTGAAACCCGCACCACTTTCTAGTGCCCTCTGTATCTTTTTTAAGGTGTTCGAGCCTGCTCCACCCTTGTCAAATGTCCCGATACAATTGTTCTAATTCGTTTAAATCCATATTTATTTCCAATCACTGAAAGCATCACTTCTATCACGAAATAGCCGCAGTTCTCAATAATGGATTTGTGATACTTTTCTTGTATAGCAAATGCCTTTTTCAACTACTATTAACACTGCCACCATTTTTAATCTTAGAAGGTTTGTCCTTTTATGTAAATGGCTAAGTACAATCGCTAGCAGCTGAAGGGATGGTATAAATCCACCTAGGGTCCATGTAGGAAGCAAATGCACTGCAAGTCCCCATATGGTCCCGACCTATAGCCCATTTCTATATCGTATTGTTAAAGATAGATAATCTGTGGTAAACTAGTTATTTTACTGTCTTTTGCAGACAGGTAAGTCTATGAGGTTTTTTTCATTCATTTAGAAATTTAAAACTTTCATTGTCACAATATGGCTGAAATACTGACGATGTGACTTTGAATTTTAACTCACTCACTCTCGATTTTTGTAAACACTCGTGTTCTCGTTACCCCTGTTATTTTCTACCTAGGACTTCTTGCGTTTTAGGCGCTGTCCGCGCTCGTAGTAACTGTGACAAACACATGTGGCGAAAGTGATTTAAATGTCGTTAACTGCCGTAAAACGTTACACCAGTGGGGATGTCGTAATTGATACGTTACATCTCCCGTTCTTTACTAAATGTATAAAAACTTTCTTTAAGACTTGGCGGCTTGCTCGTGCAACCACTTCTGGCCACAACACTCGGTACACTTGCTGGGGGTGACGTCAGCGTTGTCAGGGGCGACTTCACAGTTGCTAGGGGTGACTTTATTTTATGTGGTGATAGAGTCTGGATGTTTGGAGATTGCAACTGCTTGTTCTGACAGTCTAATTAAGTAAACATAGGCTCAGTATTATTCGTTACACTACTATACTGAGTCTAACAAAACCTAGTAGAAGGTCAGCTAACCTTTTGGACTGACCAATTTAGAACACAGATTACCAAATCGCGAAAGTTAACATTCGTTCATACCGTTTGAACCTTTCCCTCAAAATCTTGAACGATTCCGAAATGCTATTTTCCGCACGATCGCTTCCGAGTGATGCAAGCAATGAGTAGTCGCTGAAAATAGGATGTCATCTTGCGAAAATATAAGCAAATAGTAACCAAGTCTATAGAAACCCCTAAGCGTATATACTGCAGGTCAAATATCTGTGTTTTATGCGGATTTTCGTTTGTTGATAGATCAGTGTCAGCGATCAAGGAAGAGAAAATCCAAAAAACCGTTTTGTAAGTCCCGCCGAACCCTAAGTAGTCGCATTCGTCACCACTCGCCCCTTTCCGTAACCCGCAAGAAGACTCGTCCCCTTCTCGATGCTTGTTATGTGCGAAAATACGACAAACCAATCAGAACGCGCGTAAATGACTGCGGTGCTTTGGTAAAAATAATCCCGAGTACTTAAATCGTTTATGGCATTATGTCATTGTTTAAAAAATCATGAAAAATATATTTCGTCATATTGAAAGTACAAAGAACTTAGCTAACACAATTTTGCTGCCTATTATGGTGTTTTTGATAAGAATCATGCGATTGACGGCGAGAGATTCAAATACACGCACGTGCGTTTGTTGACATAACGGCTCTCATGGGTCCAACTGAGGGTGTTTCTGACGATCTTGCGGGCTTGCTATGGACATTGTACGTGCGCTTCCAACAATTTTAGGAAATGTAATTATAAATCGCTACGAGTTTCAAAACAATAATATTATATCTGTATGTAACTAATCAACTGTAATCTTTAACATTGGGCATATATTTCAATTCTCTGAGAAAATTTTAGTCTGA